CCCCCTCCCACACAGATGGGGCTCCTGAGCACCAGAGAAGGGAAGGGATTGTCAGAAGTCACCGTGTGTCAGCTGCAGAGCTGGGCTCTTGCTTCTGCACTGAGGCCCCAGGGCCCGGGGAGGGGGGATGACATGTCCTGTAATAGGGGAAGGTCTGAGCCAGGGACCCATGCCCTGGGGCAGGGTCAAGGTATCAACTCAAGTGTCCTAACTGCCCCTCCCCCCTCAGGACAGAGAAACACCCAGACCAGACGCATGGGCTCCCTGTATGTCCAGTTGAAGGTGGGGAGCAAGAGGTAGGCGTAATTCAAGATATTCCCAGTGGCTCCCTCTGTGGAGGACTGATCTTTAGTAGGATCCTTGGGGGACTGGAGGTTTTGGATAGAACACTTGCAGTTTAGGAAGATGAAATCAGTGCCCTCATAGCCTCTGTGGCCCCAAGGCAGGCAATGACTCATTTACTCTGGTTCCCACCTTGTCCCATCCCTAGGACCCCCAAGTGTGCAAACGTGCTTTCAGTGGCTTGCAGTTCCCACCCTGGCCATGAGGGGGTGCCCCAAACAGGCCGACCGGCTTCCGGTGGGGCCTCAGCAGGAGGTGCTCGCAGGGCTCCATCTAAAAGGTCACTATGGGTGCAGCGGGCAGCTGTGTGCCTGCGGCCTCTTGAGGAAAGTGGGGAAGTCTGCCCAGCACTGGCTCTTGGGTCCCTCCCACCTGGAAGCAGCGGGGCCTGGACATAGGTCTTCTGCTTTGCACCTGGCTTCCCATTTGGGGCTCTTTCTACCACGTAACCTTGGCAGGGGCTGGACCATAGGTCCTGATACCCAGGAGAGGCTACTAATGTTCTCAATGACGACGGCTAATATTTACCATGGGCCTGCCATGTGCTGAGCCCTTTAACATGTGTGTTGTTTAATTTAACCCTCCCACGTGAGGTAGCCCATTTCAAAGATGAGAACACTAAAGCCCAAGGCAATGCAGAGGCATCTCCTATCAGAGGTAGAGCCAGGATTGGGATCCAGGGTCCTGGGAACCCCAGGCCCAGGCTCTTAATGGCCATGCTCCCCTCTTGTTCTCTGGGGCTCTGATGCCAGTTTAGCCCCTGCCTCGGTTTACCCATTTCTCCAAGGGGAATAATGACAAGTCAGGGAGGGTGTTTCAGCATAGCCCTCTCTGGCCTTCCTCTATCTCCGCATCCGTCCTCACCACTCCATCCCTCTGTTCAAGTTGCCCCATTACACCCTTGGTTGCCCCAGCCCCTTGCTGTGGTCACCAGGGGGCAAGGCTCTGTGGTCAGAGCCCTGGACATGGAATCTTCTGGGCAAGAGCTGAAGTCTAAGTTTGAGCTTAGACACTGGCTTGCTGTGTGACTGTGAGCTCTTCCCTTCACTGCTCCGTGGGGAGGGAGCTGTTCCCTCCTCAGTGACGTGGGGGGGAGGCCCCCTACCCTGGAGTAGTGACAGGGACTAAGTGAGTCAGGCCAGCTCCCAGTCAGTGTGACTGCTTGTTTCTAGTCTCTGCCCCAGACCTCTGCCCGTAGCCCTGAGCCCAGGGCCACCTGCCTGGAGGACAAGGCATGCTCTCCCTGAGGATTGTGGTGGCTTTCCATGTTCGTGATGACCAAGTCCCTGTGTTCTGTGTGGGATGCTGCCTGGCTCCCTGGGACCCGGGAAGAACGAAGGGGTGCACAGCAAGTCGGGGGCGGCTTAATGTTGGTCTTTCATTTAATCCTGGGCCCCAAACCCCAAGTCCCCTGCTCCAACCACCCCAGCCACCCACCCTGGCATAGTGTCCCTTTTGGCAGTACAAACAGCAGGATGGGGTGCCAGCAGGGTTCTCAGCCTTCCCCACACCACAGCGTGGGAGCGGGAGGGAGAAACTCCTGCGCAAGCTCCTTAAAGAAGCATGAAAATACAGTGAGATCATGGCTTGGGGCGGGGCCAATCCCCATGGGACTGGGAACAGCATTTGCTGAGGGGATGACAGGGCCCAGCAACTGGGGTCCAGGTTGGAGGTGGATAGGTAGAAACTGAAGTCCCCAGCCCCAGCCCACACACCCAGGCCTATCCTGGGCTCCACCTCCTCTATTGCGCTGATGTTTCTTGACTGCGTGGCTTTGGGCAACTTGCTTAACCTCTCTGAGCCTTGCTTGGCTGAAAACACGCTAATAATTCCTGATAGGGTTGTTGGGCAAGGTAGACATTCCACAAGTTCTTTGGAAAATGTCCCATAAGGGAAGGCATTATTTTATGGAGGTATTTCCTTGTCCCCTCTAGCCAGGGTCAGAGGTCACTCACTGCCTGAGGGCCCACAGCATTAAAGCCCTTGAAGAATGACCTTTCCAATGAGGTAGACACCAACATCCATTAAAATCCTGGCTCATTGTTAGGCAAAGCAGGTCATCTCTTGAGTCTCATTTGCGAGGAGGACACCACTGCATTGTGGAAGGATTGTCGGGATTGGTAAGAATCAGAAAAGTCCTCTTCTGAACTCTGCCATGTGCCAGGTCCTGTGCAGAGACCTCAGATGGATTCTCAGAAAAGATCTTCACAAAGACCTCATGGACATTGTGCCCATTCAAGCGAGGAAGCAGCGGAGACTCAGAGAGAAGGGACTTGCCTGCGGGCACACAGAGGGCTGGCCAGGGGCAGCTGTGTGGGCACCCAGAGGGAGACCTGGCTGTGCCCAGCACGGGCCCTGCGGGGCTCCTTGGCAGTGAGTTCACACCTCCCCCAGCGGCATGGAAGCCAGCAGTATGTTTCGGGGCCCGGGCCCCCCTTACCTTAGAGAGGAGGCAGAGGAAGGAGAAGGCCAGGAGGTGGGTCTGTGGTGTGCCTCTCATGTCACTGTGTCCCCCACGGAGCCAGCTTTGAGCCTGGGAGGCAGGACCTGTAAGTCTTTATGTTCCGGAGGCTGTGAGGTCACTCCCCTCCCCACACACACATGCACAGACACACACACGCACACACACACAGACACACACACGCACAGACACACACACGCACACACGCACATTTACATGCACATTAGTCTTTGCATTCCGTGCTCCTCTCCCCATCCTCAGCCTCCCACTGATGAGCCCATTTACCTGAAGGTGAGACCGTGGAGGCCACCAAGGGGGTGCCTGACAGTGTGTGCGAGTGTGTGCGAGTGTGTGTGTGTGTGTGTGTGTGTGTGTGTGTGTGTGTGTGAAAGCCAGAGCCAATGTCAGCCTGAGAGCCTGTGACAGGCTGGCAGGGGCCTCTGTAGCTCCTCCCAGCCCACGAGGGCCTTCCCAAGCCTTGGCTGTAGCTGCTGCAGCCCTGCCCAGACCCCCTGCCCACCCCCGGGGGGCTGTGGATCCAGGAAGCGCTGGGCAGACACCCCCTTAGCGGAGCTGACCCAAGTCCTCCAAAGCGCTGTGGCCCGGTCTCTGGGCGGCTTCGAAGGGCCTGCGGTTTCTGGCAGGAGGATTGGCAGCCAGCCACCCAGGGGCGGGTGTGACCCAGAGCAAAACTTCCCTGGCGGCCTGTTTGCTTTTGGCAACAAGGGGCCTCCCCAGGGCTGCTTCCTGGGCTCTGGCAGGCGGCCGCGGTGGATGAGCCCACACAGGCTGGACCTATTGCGTGCCGGCGCATGCTGGGCACTACCAGCTGATCTGGAAGAACCAAATCCATTTCATGTAGCTCAGCCATCTCTGAGGGCCCCTCTGCAGGGACTGGATACACAATACAGACTTTGGGCCAAAGCCCAGCGCAGGAGATGACAGTGAGAAAACAGGTGGAATTTCTGTGCACACTGAGGAGGGGTCCTTGTTGAGAGTGAGGGTGAAGGACAGCTTTCTGAAGAAGGTGCCTTTTCAGAGAGCCAAGGAAAGATGGGTGGCTCGGTGGTTGAGCGTTGACCTACATGAACCAGGAGGTCAAGATTAGATTCCCGGTCAGGGCACGTGCCCAGGTTGTGGGCTTGATCCCCAGTGGGGGGCATGCAGGAGGCAGCCAATCAATGATTCTCTCTCATCATTGATGTTTCTCTCTCTCTCTCTCTCTCTCTCCCTTCCTCTCTGAAATCAATAAATATATTAAAAATAAAAGATGGGGTCAGAGAGGTCAGAATATTCCAGGCAGAGGGACCAGCACATGCATAAGCCTAATGGTGGGAGAGAGCATGATAGCATTGCCTAGTCGAGGAGCTCAAGGTGCCTGGGTGACTGGGGCTGACTGTAAGGAGGGGACTGGGGCTGACCTTGAGGAGGGGAGTGGTGTAATGTGAGGAGTAAGAGACCCCAATTTAAGCCCCGGGTATTTTGGGGACACCACTGGGGGGTTAGGGATGTAAAGACATGAGCTTTGACTGTAGACTTTGACAAAGATAATAGAGGTGATGTCAAGGAGTGGCTGGGGGAGCCTTTGACCCCCCAAATCTCCACCAGTACTTGATATCGGTGTGAGACTGAGGGATTTTCAGCAGGTGGGCGATACCCTTCTGTATGCAGCCATAAGGGAAGAAGATGATGGGGATGGAGGATGTCAACTGATGGTCGTTGGTGCCAATCCAATGCCAACAGGAATGCCCAATTTGGGATGCAGTGAAGAAGGAAACTTTATTCAGTGTAAAAAGCTCAACTGTGCCACAGCTAGACAGCTCAGCTCTGCGTGAGGGTCTGCTCTGTTCTGCTTCTTGCTGGTGTACTCAGTCTGCACCGCTCTGGTGAGACATCTTCAGTGCTCCAGCTCAGCCAGGGAGATGCAAGCTTCAGTCTTTGGTAGAAAGGGAACATGCGCTCTCTGAACCAGAAGGGAGCTGGCTTATATGGACAGGAGTCCCTGCCCAGGGTCCCTGATTAGTCCATCCTCATGCAAATGAGTACTCAGATCCTCACAGTTTGATTGGTCCAAAAGACACTGTCCTGATTGGTCAGAATAGAGCCACTCTGATTGGCTGGAGCTGTGAGTTCTGATTGGATGGGGAAAGCCTCCGTTCTACTGGTTGAAATAGGATTCCAGGGACTCCTTTATAAGGGCTGGCTCAGAGGGCAGAGACACAGTGGAGAGCTGGGCAGTCCAGGACAGGCTTCTCTGTGAAATGCAGTTTGCGTGAGAGGCCCTGTGCAGAAATGGCTGCTAGGCTCTGGGTTTGTTTGTTTGTTTGTTTGTTTGAGCCAGTTGGTCACCAGGAGCCCTTCTTAGTAGATGTCTTTTTTTCTCAGAGTTCACAAGGATGAAGATGAAAATGCAGGTTTTGATCACTTATGGCTAGAGGAAGTGGCCAAGGGTAGATGGGGTTTTCACAGACTTGGAGGGAAGGAGAGATACATGGATTGATTGACTGATTGATAGATAAATTCTTATATTTTAGTCAGGCATGTTTAGAGTATTTTATTTTTTAACACCCCACTTTCTTTATACGACAAAACTATTTTCAGTAATAATCATGAGATGAAACAAATATATTTCATGTGTGAACTAAAATCTGCACTTACCAAACCCAGTCATTATCCTCCACAGGCCACCCTTCCCTTGTTTTAAATTTTAAGCACCAACCAGCACACCAAGTAGCCACACAGAATGTCAGGATTGAAAAACCCGTACGTTCGTCTTCGCCATCACTCTGCAGGCGTTGTTTCTTGGACCTGCTGTTGAGATGCAGAAATATGTGACACTGTGGGGGGGGGAGTCAGGAACTTCCCTGCAGCAAGAGCAAGTTCCAAACTGTTAGGAACTTTCCCGAAGAATGTGTGACCCTGAGTCCCCATGCGTTGGGGACAGCTATTCTAGAAATTCTCCGAATGAATGTCCATGTAGAATATGTTTATTGAAGGACCAGAAATGAAAACGTGCTCATTCCAAGCTTACATATCCTATCTAATAATAGACAAACATGGTAATTGACCATACCTTCACTACGCCTCCCATTGGCTAATCAGCACGATATGCAAATTAACCGCCAACAAAGATGGCGGCTAATTTGCATACTGCAGGCAGATCCCGCTGCACCGCCCTGCCTGGGGCTGGCGGCAGCGCGATCCAGAGCCACCGCCCACCCCAGCGTGGGATCCTGGCCTGTGGTGTGAGGCCTGGGGCGGG